AGTTAAGGATAGCAAGAATGCCCCAAAAAGTAATCTCGTACAACAAAGAAATCTACATAAATGCAACAAAACGCTGTTTACCGCTCGAGGAAAATAAAAGTTACCTCAACTCTGATTACCTTTCCAGAAGTAAATGAATTTTTAAAATACTCTCATAGTGGATTGACTATGCGGTTCCAGCGGTCCACCAAAACATTAAACGCAACCACAAGGTGCAGATTAGAAGAGAACTCGTTCGGGATATTCCCAAGGATATGCTGTGGCGCCTTTTTTTAATTACCACAGTTCGAATATTTCCCCAGACATGCATTTTTACCAAACTCATTTCAAATAAGAATTAGCGCTATGTGCGATGAATTCTTTAATACTCTCGTGTGCTCTGACGGTAAACTGTTATTGTTACTGGGGCCGTAAACTTCTAAATTAAGTTTTTAATGCGCTGTTAACCGGAAAAGACTGCTGGTTTCCGAATTATCTTCTTTATATCTGTCTTGTGTTTCGATTCATACATAGTAAAGTAGGCGCCACACTAAAAAAATACTTCAAAAACACTTTTATTAAATAATATATGACCCTTTGAAACAAAATCTTGCATTTAGTTTCATTTAAGGACCACAGACATAAAATCATATCAGATAAGATGAGCAGAAACATGTTGAAATAAAACAATGTCACAGAATTTTGAAAAATAATTCATCAGAAATAAGTTGCATTCAATACGAATGTCAAAAATTGACAATTTTAGCTCGTATATTAACATAGAAAATCAAATCGAGTCATACAAAGAACAATAATTGTTGGTGTGGAAAAACTTTTGGACAAGGATACAACTACAATTTCTTTAGGTATAACAATACATTTAACTGCATTTGTTTTTCTTCAATCCAATCAGATAAAAATATTCAGGAAATTATTGAAAATTTTTAATGAATTTAATAAAGTACATGGTACTTTCGTCACAACAGAGGAAAGTTAATGCTGGCGGTCATCATCAACAGCTGATTGACGAAGAAAACAGTACTGAATAATTCCACAGACTGCAATATGTCAATTTTCAACCTGATCCTCATACATACTCCATGATGAATCCTCAGGTATTTATCAAGAATACATTCGAATCCATCATTTTCAATCAACAGAACAAGCTCTCACGCAAGAATATATTTCACGGCGAGACCAATTCGAAGATGATTTCTACTCAATCAAAGGACACAACAATCTATAACAAACGCTATTACAGTCGCACAAAGAATACAATAGTAGTAATATTTATATTATTAATGATCGGTAGCCGGGAGATTCGAACGGTCTGGTGGATCTCGCCAGGGCATCTTAAAGATGTCAGATAGAGACTGTTGCTCACAATAGCTGCGGTGTTAATAGGTTCTGTCAGTTCTCTCTTTGACTTATCATCCCTTTACAATTGGAATAATTTATTAGTATGAAGGCGCCACTCGGTTCGTTGCCATTTGCGAGCTATTCCATACATAATTATCATTTTGATTATTGAGCTCTAAATATACTCCTTAAGTAATAATCATTATTGCTATAAATTCCTCGATTTTCAGAAAAAAAGGTCCGTCGTGCCTTATTCAAATTATAACTGAATATTTAGTGTTAGTGCTACTTGTCAATGGTAGTTGCAGGATTTAAAAACAAATGACCAACTTGACCAGCAATTTGTTTCAGTAATAAATGAATCACGCTCAAATTAGTTGTGTCCATTATTCACATTATATTTGAATATTCAAGTGAATGTTCATATGAAATGATAATGTGGAATTTCAACAACCAAAAAACTATATAGAATACTTAGAATAGTAACCCATATCAGAAAAACTCCAAATAGTGTTTCAAACATTGAAACATTGATACATTTTCGATTCATTCATGAAATGTATATAATAATGGAGATCTAAATATGAGCTAATTATTCCTCAAGTTTTAAAATAAACAGCCAGTATGTGGTTGAAGAATAAGCCAAGAAATCAAGTCTTAGAAAGTTCGATAAAAAAGGTGAAGAATTGAAAGTCAATAATTTTAAATATCCACCAAAGTGGATATACTGATCAATTTTTTTCACTAAAAGGACTCTCAATAAACTCTAGGTTTCCATCATGAATTAACTTTTCAACGTAAAGAAATATGTTTGTGTACTCTAGGTGAACTATTATACTGAACAATTACTAAAAACATAGGATATATACAGAAATTCAAAAAATACATAAATGACAATGATAAGAAAAGAATTCAGCAAGAGAGTGTTTTTGTAATTAGCATCGATATTCAAGCACGAAGTTTTAACTATTATCTGATTTCTTCGATTCCCAAGTACTCGAGAAACAATTGTTTCTGCTAATGTGAGTATATCCTATAGTTTGCTTTCAATAGCTACCATAATATCATTTTAAATTAAATAAAAGTTAAATAAAAAACTATGAAAAAGTTCTCTAGATGGATCTCTTTCCCAACTAAATTAGTTGTTGTCTCTAGGAAATTTTCAATTTTTACGACATCTATCTAGTCTTTCTAACTCCCAAAATAATAGATCAATTTTAGATCAACATTTAATATGATTAACATAACATAAAACCATGAATATTCAGGAAAATCAGAAACCACCAATAATTCACTAGTTCTTTCACCAAATGTTTCAACTATCTCAACTGTACGTTGTTAAATTTTTCACCCATGTTTCCGCCAATTTTTTAAATATACACTTTCACCACCTTTATACTCATAGAAATATTAGTCACGAATACGATAGACATGAACAACTGATCTAATTTAGTAGCCAATAACAAATCTATTGAATTTAGATACCAAACTATTGATAAAGACTAGAGTAAGTATAACTGTAAACCATTAGAAGACACGCTCAAGGTAAGCAAAATGATCGATATTTGAACCAACAAAAACATAAGAAAAGTGCAAGAAAATGTTCCTGTTTTGAGTGAAATAGTGTGTCAAATTACTGAAAATGATACACAGTAATATTTTGACGGTCAAAGTTTTCTTTACTTCATATTCAATATAAACTGGGAGTAAAAGAGTGAAATGGGAATTCAATACACAAAAAACATTACATTCACCAAAATATAAGTACCTTTCACATGAGTTACATTCATAATATTTTCAACTTCTTCACAATTTCAGAATATAAAACGAAAAGAGTTCAAGTCAAACGTCGCAGAATTCCTATCGAACTGCCACTTGACCCAAAATGCAAGCTTTATTTTAATATAGCCCGATCCCTTTCTTGTGTGTCTCAACGGGAAATGTAATTGGAATTTAGGCATATTTCATATTGAATCAACAGTCGTATATGTAGATTGTAAAAGGGAAACAATTCCACTTGAGTTTCCCCTTGTTCCATTGCCTTTATAATTACATCAAGGATATTGCGAGGGTTTGCGTAGAACGTTGTCCCAGTTAGTATTTATAGACTGCATCCATCATATGCAATTGTTGGTCGGATCAGAATATGCCTCCAGTGGGGGAATTGCTGGAATTATTCGGGGAATACTCCAGATGTGGATGCCTTGTTGAATGTACTAAGTGGACGATGGGAATGCCAATTAATTTTTGATAAAAATGTGCCTTGAATTTCGTTTACAATGAAAATTTCAAGTTTCTAGAAGATTTGAGGTCTATTTTATAATTTTTCAAGCCTTTCAAGCTCTTGTCCTTTAAAATTACCGCGAATTTAACTTCAATTCAACTGGTATGAAATAAAAAGACAGTGTACCATTGGCAATTTTCCAAAATGATCAGCTCTAGTTTTTTCCTAATTTATTTTTGTCAAACAATTTCTACCAAATTTTATAAACGACAGGAACCTTGATATGCTTAGCAATTTTTATTCTGGGTATCGGTAAACATGAATCAAGTTAATTACAAATATATTTTCAGTTATGAGTGCAAGAGAGATGAATTTCAAATATAAATCCTAGACTAAAAAGATCGCGATTGTTATAAACTCAATTAATGTATTCGAACTCAAACTAACTAATGTTTCTAATAACAGAAAATCATCAAAGAAAAATTCCGATTACTGCAATTGGTTCAATAATCATTACATAATAATCAAAGGTAGCTAGCAAACCATTGAATTAGAGTTCATGACAAGAAACGATTTTTACTGTAACCCAAAAACACAAGAATTAACCCCAACATGTTTCATTATCATCGACATAAGCTGTAATGATAATATAAAAACAAATTGTATTCAGAGAAATTATTAGACAATGTGGTGTTCATTTTATATAGTTTGAATTTGTTTAGTATGAGTCTACAAAAATTGAAGGGGTTATGAAGGAAGACATTTTTCAAACTGAAAAAAAGAGGAAAACAAAATATTGTCAGAAGTGGATTCAACAGAAATTGTTGTTGAAATATTCCCTAAATTTATCTATAATACTTGAAATTACGGGCATTCTACAAGAAAATGTAACGAATCAATATTTCAAATGATGTACCAAGTCACGTTTGAGTACAGAAACGGATTAGGTTCTGAAGTATTAACCTCAACTCATTTAAAAAAATGTTAAAGAATATATAACTGTACAAAAACAACAATTATCATAGAATCTGGCATCCGTCATCAAATATCACAAAATCAACAATTGCATATAACAGACTGGCAATCAATTTTTTCCTAATAGTTCAAGTCAGTGATTATATACATCTTTACTGTGAAATTATTTTCTTTTGTTAAAAGCTTCGTTGTGACAATTTTATCAAAGAGAAGTTTGCAAATATTGCCCTAGTCTCATTATTCAGAAAAATCAGATCACTATATCAGCAAAGATATTGAATAAATCTGCGAATGAATCTTGGACGGTACTAAATGATTTCAAAGTAGTTTTCTGCTATACCATATCTACACCACAAAGATATCTTGTACCCGGGGTAACGTATCCATGCATGTCAACTTCCTGGTAGTCGAACAACATCCACAAACCGAGTCTCGCATAAAAATATATCTACCAAACACGTACCTGGCTGTCGTACAATCCCTGTAGAGTGTGTCGAAGTCCTTGCAGGAGAGAAGCTTGCACCTATTGACCCCCGGCTGAATAGCCCCGAGACCTCTTAGGATCCTGACCTGCTCCACGTTGCATACCAAGGGGACGATGTCCAAGCGCTTCAGCTTCGTATAAACCGTGTGCAGACCGCCCACCAGATGCTTTAGGAAGAGTTCAAAAGCCTGCGGAAGGCACAACATAGTGTCCCCGGCTATGATGAAGGCCGCCACTTTTTGTCCACGATAATCGACTAACTTGCACTCGTTGGCGGTCGGATCGGAGGTGGAGATCGGCGGCGGGCTGTTGTAGGATCGCGGAGGAGCGTGGTGTGCCATCAGGTCCAGAGGACTGTGGAGGACCCCCAGAGAGTTGAGAAGCCCCAAGCCTGGGGGCGGCAGATGACCCAGAGCCATACTGCGAGCCAAGCTGGCCGAAGAGACGGGCGGCGGGCTCAGAGTGTGGGCCATCGACATGGGCGGCGGGCCCAGAGGACTCGCCTGCCTCGGGCTAAGCACCTGGTGATGGTTGTGGCCGTGGTGATTGTGGTTGTTCGATGAGATGTTGTTGTTATGAGGCGGTGAGGGGGACGGTTTGACAGCTGCGGGCGATCCGGACGACGCGTTGCTGCTGTGGTCGCTGGCCGAATCAACGCCGGAGGTGTCCATCATCGCGACGCGCAACATCAACACTTACTACTACTACAACTACTGCACTGCACACCAGAGTCCATCGGCCGATGTCGCAATCGTAAACGGCCAAACAGTCGGAGAGATGTCGTAATAGTGAGCGAATATAGTATTGTCTGTCTGTCTGTGGAGGGGAGGTGAGCGCGCACCACCGTGTACACTCTGCTTCTACGCGACCTGAGGAAGTGCACACACAACCGGTACACTCGGCGAGTACGAATGTAATAAATAAAAACATTTGGAAAAACTCCTGCGAGTGCCCGTGGGCGGGGCTTGAAGCGTCATGCGGGCGACTGCGCCTATTGGAGGGAGCTCGAGAGGCGAGTGCGGCGATTGGCGCCCCTCCCTCTCGCTTGTCTCGGGCCGCCCACCCGCGGCTACCGAAAGAAGTTAGTTTCTTTGTAGCTTCGAGGGCGGATGCGAGACAACTTGAAATATGAGCTATGACGTATTGATAAAGAATGTCACCAGGCTGTCGTTGCTGCGCAATCAATACGACGAGGTGTGCGGCCCGTTCTTTCTTTTCTTTTCTTTGCGTTTTCATTTCGAATCGATGTTCTCTCGTTCGTTGTTTTTCTCGAATTGCTCCCGGTTTTTCGAGACGGAAAAATCCAGAGCCGAACCCGTTCGGCAATCGGTCTCGAATAGGAAAATGAGACTGGTTATCGGGATATTCTATTGGAAAAAATGTAGGATATTTGATGATGGATTTGTCTACAGATATTTGAAATGTAGAGAGAGCGTTCAAGATTCCAAATACGAGTCTGAAAAACTCCAACTCGATACTTGATACTTATCGATATATTACAACTTATATTCTGGCCCGGATAGAAAAAAATATATTCACTGCACAAATATACAGAAGCAGAGGAAACTTAATGAACACACCACTCATGGAAATATCGGCAGAAAAGCCTTTTCTGTGAGCCTGTAAGCCTCATTTTCTGAGTAAGAATGGATTTTTTTGTTGTGGTAGTACCTACATTTCCTTTTTTTCAAAGAAACAACTTTACTCGGAAATATAATTTTACTTCACTAGTAGTAAAAGTCAGTGTTTATGGAAAGTATATAGTACCTATTACTATACCCTGATCCACATAAAATAATAACAGTTGTAAAACTTATATCTGTCAAAATTTTTGGCATTTTTCTTAAATCGCCATGCTTGAGATTCTTGGAGAAGAAATAACCGATATCAAACCTCGATTAGAGACATCAAATATCTAAACTGAGATGGAAGTTGTGTCATTTTATGCTACGATAAAAATGAATACAAAAAATGTAGGTATTTACTGAAAGGAAAGTCTCTAAATATATAAATAAGTACTTTATGTTTGAAAAATAATTTGAAATTAGGAAGGCGTAAAAGTGCCACAAACGATTTCGAAAAATGAATCACTGAATTCCGGTTCCAAAGTTGAAATTTAGCAAAATTTCGAGTCAAATGTCGAAATTCCACAAAATTGTTATTATTGGAATCCTTAAAATATTGTTAAGTTCCGACTTCAAACTCGAAATTTTGTAAATTTTATTGTCATTAAAATGTATTCTCCTTCTAAATCTTCTTGTAAATACGCATGATGAATAATAATAATTCAAATCTTTAGTGCAAGTTAGTACTAAATGTTGGGAAAACAATATTTTAAGTTTTTCTTCTAAAATTCGCCCTGCTATTAGCAAACCTTTTCGATATCAGATATCGAAAGTCCGGAAAAAAAATGTCACGTTGTTTTTCCATAAACCTAACCTAACCTGACCTGACCTAACCTAACCTAACCTAAACTAACCTAACCTAACCTAAACTAACCTAACCTAACCTAAACTAACCTAACATAACCTGTCCTAACCTATTTCAACCTAGCCTAACCTAACCTTACTTAGCCTAACAAGTTACCATCATCAGGAGATGACAAAAACTGACTGCTGACTCAGAGATTACTAAAGTTGACTTATGTTAAGTCGGAGATGAATTAAAATGACTGCTAAGTCAGTCAGTTTTAGTCTTCTTCTAATGATGCTAATTTAGTTGGCAAAACATGGCCTAACCTGACCTGACCTGACCTGGCCTAACCTAACCTAAACTAACCTAACATAACCTGTCCTAACCTATTCCAACCTAGCCTAACCTAACCTTACTTAGCCTAACAAGTTACCATCATCGGGAGATGACAAAAACTGACTGCTGACTCAGAGGTTACTGAAGCTGACTTATGTTAAGTCAGAGATGAATTAAAATGACTGCTAAGTCAGTCAGTTTTAGTCTTCTTCTGATAATGCTCATCTAGTTGGCAAAACATAGCCTAAAGGGAAAATATAAAATTCTGCTTTGAAAGATATAAAAGAATGCACCATTCCTTTTCAAAATAGCGGCATAGAACTCGTTTCCCTTATGATATATATTATGTAACCAATATTCAGAAGAAGTATGAAAAATTTCTGATTCGTGTATACGACTGTGTAGGCATATGCTTCCAAAGAATCATCAAAAATTGATGATACTTGTACACGATATTTGTAGACAACATTCAAAAAAAGCATCAAAAATTGCTTGATGATTTTACACGATATTTGTGGGTAATATTCAAAAAAAAAAAATTACTGATAATTGTACAACTTTCTAGTTTGATATAGCGATCCCAATTTTCTGAAAGCTGTATATGCTATTTCAATAAAAGATTGTGCCATGTTGGCGTCCAATTTGATACTCAAATTAATCAACATGACGCAATTAGCGGAACTATATGCCCTGACATTATTGAACACAATTTTCTTCTTAGAGAAGGTTTTCGTATGCTTAAATTATACTTGATTTGTATCACCCTAAGCTGAAATCGTTGTTATGTTATTAAACATCGATTATTTCTATCCCATTCAAAACTTTGCTTTCAACAGGATTTTATAAAATATATTGATGAAATATATTAAATCGGAAGTAAATTGAATACTTCATAAATATTAATTCTCAGGTGTTAATATTTGAATAATAGATCTGTTTAGAAATAATCTGTTTTTCCGTTGACCAGCTGGCTAAGCCTCACAAACTTCAACCCTCAAAAGTCGAAACTTGTGCGAGCTAAGGACTAACGGGGTCTTACCTTTTAACGTGTGATTCCTAAGATAGATAGATGAATAGATGATTTATTTCACTGCGTTACATAATAAAATGTTTGTAGTAAGTCAAAAAATAGCATAAAAGTAATGGTCAGTTACAACAATTAAAATAGTATAAAAACAGACAAGGAACACAAATACAAAAATATGAAAACACAATTGAGTATGTTGACATTATAAGCATTTGAAATGGTTCACGTATTATTTGACAGAATAGAAGCATAAACTCAAAAGATAATTTTATATTGTTTTTTTTTGAAATTGGACATACTAAGAATTTTAAAATTATCGAAAAGATAGTTGTAGAGGTTGAAATCCAGAGTGTTCTTTTGTGATTTACTCAAACGATAGCGGATTGTTTGAATTTTGTTACAATGTCTGGTATCATAGTCATGAAGGTATGATTGCTTGATTATTGAAATTGATTTTTTATGAATTTCTATGAGAACGTTGAACCAAAACAGAGGTTGACAATGAGATACTTTCGAAATTTCCAAACGACAATACATAACGGTGCCACATATAGGTATATCAGTAATGACAATTTCTAAAAAAAAAATTAAATTGTGCCTGGCGCATGACGAAGGAAGGTAATAAATCTTTACAGTGATGACGGTAGATTAACAAATAACGAATGTTTCAACAGAAGTTTATGTTATCTAATTGAAAGGGGTATATTTTTAGGAGAGATTATGTTATCATTGTCGACGTGATATTTAATATTTACCTCAAACTATAAAATTTCCAAGACATATTTCAAGATTGTGGCGTTTAAAGTTATAGATACTGGAATTAAAAACTCTGTGGCATCTGTGACAAATAATCTATTCGAATTTTTGTCTGAGAACCTCAATGAATTTTTACATTTGGCCAATAATCTTTCTTGCAACATTAAAAGTATTTTTCAGGCTCAAGCAATATCGTTGAAGAATTAGCAAAAAATTTCCCAATAATATTGTGATATCAATAATGACACAAACAACAATAAAAACTGTAGTTTTATGTAAAGGCCCCACCTTCAAAGCTCCACCTAACATTAATTAGGTATATCAGATTCTGTACCGTGAAAAAGCAAATTTTTGTTTGGGAAACGAAGAGTAAGAGTAGTAGTTTGATCGAAAGAAAATAGCGTTAATACTTTATTACATTCCTAGTAATCGAAATAATGAAGTGGAATAAAGTTCTGAAACGTTCAAATCTAAAATATGTACGCAGTATAAGGACATAGTTATAATGTACGTGAACACCACCATGGAAGAAACAAAAAATCCTATTCATGACAACGTTTTTCAAACAAATTCTTGATCCAATCAATAAAACATTTGTAGTCTGTGTACAAAAACATAGCTAAGATGAATTCAGTTATTTTGTTCCAAAGGTCAATTGAACTTTGAAAAGAAGTATAGCTTCTCTTGATTTTTGCTGATGCTTTTTTCAAGGCCCGAACCCAAGCACTACGGTAAAATCCTTAAGGGGCTCCCAGAGCGGTGCATAATCTCTTACATTGAATTCTAAGTTATAAAAATTATGGAAACTGAAGCTGAAAAATTCCAAATAAACTATAAGTACCTACTGTTACAAAAAAGTATGTGGGTCAGACTAAATAAGGTATTGAAACTCTCTGCTTATCAGATTTAATAGAGTGTCACTTTAAACTTCTTTCGAAACGAACATAGAATGAAACAAAGTGATTTGAAATTGTTGAAACTAATTCATGACAAGACTTTTGGATGCTGGAATGTCTGGAAATGGCTGTTCATTGTGCACGCTTTCATGAATAACTATTTTCAAATCAAGGGGAAAAATTTCTCACTAAAGATATGGTCAAAACATATAGAAATCAGTTTAGACCATCTCCTGACGATTTCAACTTGCTTGACGAAACGTTTGTTCAACAGAGTCTTACAGTGTTTGGTTGGTCTTCTTTGGTTACAATCTCCATACATTACAATTTGTATATGAGAGATAAGTATTTTTGGTCGAGTCTCAAATATTTCTATTACTTTTTATTTATTCGTTACATTTGGCATTTTCTTCAACTCAACTGTATCGATATTGAAAATTTCAATATATTT